ATATATTAATATTTTCATTATGTATAATTATTGTACATATATGTATATATTATACATAGAATTGATATAATTGTATATTATATTAATAATATTAAAACTAATTTACTATACGTATAAAAATTTTATATTAGAATATATTTTTTTTTCAAATTCTTGTTTTATTAAATTTGCATTAAAAATTTAATTTGATACATAGTCAGAAGTTCGTTGGTAAATAAACACATTATTTTTGGACACATAATTATTTTTTTATCGTGTGTTTTTGTGACTAGAATCAGATTATTTAAACTCCATATCACAATAGGATTGATTCAATACAGGTTTTATCTTTAATAAGATTGATCATAGAAAAAAACTTGGGCAATTTTCGATAATCAATCTTATCGAAGATAAAACCTGCATTGAATCAATTCTATTATATGGAGTTTAAATAATTTAATCCTATAGTTATCTCGAGCGATAAACTTTTAATACAATAATAGGAAACTATTAGAACATTGACAGTTATTAACTTTTTTGCTTTCACCAACTCTATTTCTAAATCGAACCATTTGACAATAAAGATGCGTTAAGTCAATGAAATTGTTGCCTTTTGTTGCTAAGACAATTAACTGGCAGTTAACTGAAGGATAAGAACCGTAATAACGTAAAAAAAGATTTTTCTTCGTTTATCGGTCTAATATAAATCTGACCATGACTTCGTCGTCATTCATCATGAAAATTTTATTCCTCATTGATTTCCACGGGTAATCGACTCGCTAGTGTTTTCTCGACTGCGTCACAACGTGCGAGTTCCAACAAAGCAGTGTCTTCGATCGTCTATCCAGTGGAAAATTTTACACAAAGCAGATCATTACATGGCCCATATTTCCCAGTCGTTCTGTCATATTCTGTCGTATCTTAAAGGTGTGAATAACGACTTCAATTTTCTCGCAAATCTGAATTTAAAGGAATTTAAAAAAAGAAACATATCTGAGATTTTTTTCAAAATTGAATCAAGAACTTCACACAGATTTCCAAAATCTTAGGTTGGTATTCATAGATTCTTATATTCAAGACAGTTTTACAGATTTCAGATATCATAGTCATAAATTAACAATATTAGCGTTTTAAGACGATATTTAAGACGGTCTTGTAATAAGAACGGACTGTAAATAGCGGTTTTAAAATTTGCAAATCTAATAGATTCAAAGATTCAAGAATTTCAAGATGTCGAAATACTCAACAATCTAATACGAGCTAGTCACTAAAAATATCAAACAGTCATTATTGATCGTTTCTATCTTTCAGGTTAATATTATGTTTTTGTATAAAAAATATAAGATTTTGAATTATGATTTTGATTTTTTAATAATTATATTCTTTATATATTATGAATATTTGAATTTCATCATTTTTTTTATTTTTTTTTTTGCATAATAATTTATTCTTTTACAAGTCCTTTTAGTAAGAACTGTTGGTATTTCTATAATATTAATTGAAGATACGAAGATTGGAGGAAAACGTGAGAGTGCAAAATCAATTCGAATCCACCGTAGTATTTCCGTGTCACTCGTGAACTTTATTCAAGCGGATTTTTTTCTTCAACCGTTTTGAAAATTGAAGCCAGTCTTTCGTTAGAAGCGATGATAGATCGGAGGATTGTTGGTACATCTTCAACGAGTCGGAATGATTCGGAAAGAGGGGAAAAGAATAAGAAATAGACAGATGGTATTTTTACACTTGAACATAGTCTTTCGCATGCGTGCCTAGCGACTGGCTTCAAGCTGTATCGAGTGTCCAGAAAAAAAAAACAGGAGGATCTTTAAGTCGAATCTTTCACGAACGTAGAATTTCCGAAGAACAAAGACGTCTTAACATCCTGGAATCTTGAGAATTCGAAATTCTCAATGTCCAAGTACATTGGATTTTTGAGACACGCAGAAGTCAAAAATCTCAACTTCCAAGTATCTTAGACTCCTGAAAAAGTTTCTTTAAGTATAATTACATAAAAGATGTCTGCGTAACGAACCTTGAAAGAAGAGTCTCAACGTCCAAAGCTCGCAAAATATCTAAATTCCAAAGTACCCCCAATTAAGTTCCCCATTTTAATTCCACGACTTCGAGCATCCCTCTGTTTGACGTTTTTTCCCCTCTTGCGCATCCATTAAGTCCTCTCTCACGTCTACGCGGTCTTCTTGCGGAACACCCCGTATAGCCAATAACACCCCTCTGTCGGTTGTTCTAGTAGTAGTGACGATAGTAGGTTGGAGTTGGCTAGCTGGAAGGGTAGCTTGTCGTCGGGTAGGTTGTTGGTTGCATGATGCGGGGAAAAGCGAGGAAAAGAGGAGGAGAAGGAAAAGGAGGAGGAGGAGAGTGGTCGAATATTGAGCGACGCCGGGCGTCGCGGCGCAGCGTGTGGGCCAGTCGCCCTTCAGCCACCGCCCCAGTTACGACTTGCGAGCGACATTTCTGGCGTGCCTAACTCTTCTCTTTTCTGGTCTAGTCCTCTTCATCTCGTCCTTCCAGCCACCCGCGACTTAGTCTCGCGCGATCCCATCGTCGAGATCACCTGTCCCGAGACACCCTTCGCGAAACAACCCCCTCGTACGAATCGAAACAACAATATGCTGATCGGTCTCGTGCGCGACTCGGTACTCCAGTGCTTCTGTCACAGCTGCAAGGCCCCGTTGGGCGTCGTAGGTGAGTGAGTCCCTGTCGCGCAAGGCCCACACTACCCCTATCTATCACTGAAGCCTTCCTTCCGGTTCTCCAAGATTCATAAAGATTGGCTGCCAAAACGCTTTTAATACTCGATCTTGAAGTATTTGAAAATCAATCTATTCGATTTTTTATAACCTTAATAAGGTGATCATATTTCTCAATGACCTTAATAATGTCAGTCTTCGAATAATAGGAGAAATATAGACCTTGTTTTTTTTTTTTTTTTTAATTCTAAGACTCTTAGGAGTTTAAGAAAAATATTACAATTTGTGGTAGAAATTTCGGCATTGGTTTGTCACAGAGCTTTCTCAGGGTGGAGCTCTACAAAAGTGGTCCTTCATAAAAAATCTGTAGTTGCAATCTGTCTTTGCAAAAGATTGTTAAATTGTTTTAAAGTTTCAATGAATATAAATTTTTTTATTTCTGAATAATTCTTCGAAAAGCAATTTTATGATGGTCTTCTCGGCAAAGCCAATCTTTATACTGCAATTTATTTATTTTTTTTTTTTTGTATAAGATTAAGTTGTGAATTCATCGATTTTTTAGGAAGTTTATCTATTTATTCTATTATTACTAGAGTACGGAGTACGTTAATGATTCTTCACAGAACAATCATGAATTAATTTAACATTTATTGAGTCAAACTCGCTTAAATAGCTTGTATGTTATAGAATGTATTGAATACAGTTTCTTTTCAGAGACTTTCATCTTTGTTAAAACTTCTTATAAATAAATTTTGAAGTTAGATACCATTATAACTATTTATAGTCTTAAAGCGCAATCCTTTTTTCTTAGATTTAAATGGTATTGCTTTCTTCACGAATTTTTGTAGAATTTTCTCGATCGGGATTTTGTATTTTTTTTATATTGTCTCTTCTTAAATTCTTTAGAACAAAAACTTAATACTAAGTCTAAAACTTAATACTAATCTTTTTTCATAATTACTTTAAATTTTGGATGATTAAAGAATAAAATTTAGGAGTCGGAAACCGGAAGGAAGTAAATGTGATTTTCAAGCGCCAACTACTGGACATATTCTCAGAAAAAATTCCTAAAACACACACATACACACACACACACACACACAAATTATTCTATTTTATCTTACCTTATTCTTAGAGAGAACAAACTTACAAAATGAGAGTCAAATGCTTGGAAATATATGCGACCGTCTTTTATCGAAAGAAAATATTCGCAGAAAAATGTACTTTGATCTCTCGGGTTTATTAAATTGCGAATAAAAATTATTACTTTTATTATACATTTTATAAATATTTTGTTTAATTTTTTTCATTTATTTTTAGTTATACTTATTTTTTATGCCATTTTTCGCTTCATTAATATTTTATATGTATTATTGATTTCTCAAAATTATCTTGTTTATTTAATATTCTTATTAATCATTCTGAGATTATTTTATGTAGTTCATTTTCTTATTCAATTTTGCTTACGTGCGTTATTCTTGATCGATACAGAGAAATTTAAGAAATTATTCAACTTTGTTGAATTTACATCAATTTTTTCGAAGAAGAAATTATGCTTTTTCGTGCCCTCTGCACGCGAAGAGCACTGTCCTTACCGCAGTGCACGACGGTCGACATCACTGTGGTATCGTGACATTATCCTGGGACACCTGCAGTTCGATCAATTTCTCAGACCGTCCGAATCGATACTTACGGTCTACCATTTTTCTCTACGGGGTGTCGCGAGCCATCACTGGTTCTTTGTCAAAAATCAAGATAGTTCTTTGTTGATGACCTTTAACATAATAAAATGATTTCTTTGAAAAAAAGTCGAGTTTCATAGACATGAAAAAAGAAGCTTTAGAAATAGATATTTTATATACTTGAAATAAATTATGAAACAAATTATTTTCAGTGACGTAAAGTATTTTGCTAGTTAAATAGCTAGTTATTTTCAAAATTTTTTTGGCTTGCAATTTTATCGAATTTAATATTACATTTGCTTGATTCGACAAATTAATATAAGACATTCTTATCTTACAGATATCACAAGAAAAATAGTATTTATATTTTATAAATAAATTAATGTTGCATTTTTACAATATTTTTCAATATATTTATATTAATAGACAATATATCTACCACTTGGATTACTTATTTGTTATTAATAACATTGACACTAACATTAAGAAATAGATCTTTTTTTCATAATTTTTTTTTATTTTTGAAGAATTATTGATGAATCGAATTACCTTCGACGCAGCGATGTGTGCAACTGTTGATTAATTTTTTTTTGTTAACCACTCTAATTAAATATCTCGGATTTTTCCACCGATACGCACGTGCTCGGTTCGCCGATCGATTCGAAACGATCAGGGTGCGGTCCAACATGGCTACGCGAAACGGTCGCATCGATTTCCCGATAATTAACCCATTGGGACACCAATCGATCTCTCAGCCGGGCAATGACATACACGATACTAATTTCATCCCCTTTATAGCTCCTTTGTTTCTAAAATACTTATGCTTTGATTGAAATACGAGCGAAATTTTTATGCCATGCGAAACACGATCCATAGACATTTTCTTTCCGTTTTATGATTATTGCGTCATAAAACCTCCATAAATTTTACACGATCAATATTTGCATTGAAAATAAGAGATAAAGAGGCGAGTAAAATCGATATTTGTCATATTTATGATATATATTTGTCATATGTTGAATTATGTAAAAATGGATTACGATTCTTAAAAGTCTTGCGGCGTTTTGCTCAAATAGTATCTTGTATGATAATTGCATGAACGAGTAAGATGGTCTCTTAGTGGGTCAAAGCGCAATCCGGCTTCTTCCTTCTTTCTCATTAATCTCTCTCGAAAACTCTTCGAGTTCTTTGACCGTGTCTGAATTTCCGAAGCGGGACAGAGGAGGAATAATGCGCCATTTAAGAAGCCGAGCGGCAAGGGTAAGCCGCGGACCAAGCAGCCGAAAAAGGTGAAGTTCATCAGTGAGTATCTGGACAATTGAGCGAGTTTCGAATGATGTTCAAAGAAACCCATATAGCCCTTCTATATAGCCCTTACGATCGAATCGCATCGATTTCCTTAGAGAATCCTAGGACCTTTTCGCTAAACATTCCAGAGAAAAATTCCAAGATTGACAAAAATTGTATGTGTTATCGATTATCATTATTATTGAAGATATATATATATATTTTTTTATTATGAGAAATTAAATTTCTCTGGGATGTTTTTTTTGTTGAGAAATTTTTTCGCTTTTAATCACATAGTGTTGATGAAGATTTGATTGATGATACAAAAAGGGAAATTCATCAGGGAACTTCTTTTCTTCTTTCTTTTTTTTTTTTTTTTATCAAATTTCTCCTGTTCCTTGTATCTTAATTTTATCTACGTGATTACGTTATGCACCTGCGTGTAGTTTTATTCGCGTAATATATGAGAATTCCTACGTCTGAGAATTAAAAAGGAGCACCTTTGTTGTATTAAAGATCGGTACAATGCCCTCGGTAAGAATGGTCGCGCCAATGTGTCGCCGTTGAATTATAAATCGAACGTGGAGAACATTTGCAAACTTGTGTTGTGCCGTACTACGTGGAGATGTATGGTGATATCGACAACTTATCGTAATAATGACAAGCAATTCTAATACGCTGTTCCGATCTATCAAACGAAGAAAAAAATATATTAGGAACGCGAAGTCAAAACTGCATTCGATTATAAAATAATATTAAATGTAATAAAATAATCATAAACAACGTCGATCAAACGTCAATAATTTATACTTTATCCATACTTGAGACACGTGGTGAAAAGAAAGGAGACAACATAACGGATTACGATTCACTTTTCACAATTGAATAATTATTGGAATTCTCAAAAATGGGCATGACAAGGAAATTAATGCAATACGCTATGATATACGTAATTACAGTACGGTTAGCAACGGCAAGGTGTATGCGAGATGAGGAGGGAGGTAGAGAAGGTGCGTGCGACGACGCTAGACGTCGCGGCGCCTACGGCCGATCGTTCCCTCTGATCGATCTCTCCTTGTCGCGCCGCTCTCGTGCCTCTGAGTCATGCTTCCGCAACCAGCCGGCGCCGGAAATCATGAAATTGCGAATCTCGATTGCCAGAGACTGTTGCACCGAGACATAGCATCGATACTATCATTCGAAGATTGAGCACCATATTTGAAAGTCCTAACATTCAAAAAGTACTTTTCAGCATTCAAGGGACAAAGCGTAATTCAGTGAATCATTATATCCTTGCTGTTTACCAATATTAACAAGTAAATGAAATGATTTACTATGTTACACCGTGGCATCTGTGACTTTTGCTCAAAAGCATCTAAAATTAGAAAATATCGATCTTATGAGCGTCTAAGTATGTTTGGATATTTTTACATCATAGAGAAATTTTATTTTGAGATAAACCAAAAATTATTATATTTTATTACTTATTACTGTAATTATAGTGTTATTACTAATAACTATTTTATAATTATATGTACACTGTTATCTGTCTTTTGTTGAAAAATTTATTATGTTATCTGTCTTAATTGTCCATTAGATCATTAGATCACACACATTTTTTTAAAAATCGGATTGTATTAAAAACATTGAACTTACACTGAAGAAGATTCAAATCGAGGATCGAAACATTTGAAAAATTATATTGATGCATAGACAATTGCATTTAAATAAAATCAAACTCATCAACACCAAGTGTCGGCTCTTATTGACACTTCCCATTTATTGATTTTGTCAGAGTCTATAATCTCTCAACCATTAATAATTATATAATAATTAATGGTATTAGTCATTAAATGCATGCCTTACTGAAAATATACAATATTACCTTTTATCTTTCGATATATAAGATCATTGTATTGTACTGAACACTTACATTGCACTGATGGAAACTTTACAGCGACCGAGATTCGATGCCAGGAAAAATCCAAGGGTGGGCTGTGCTATGAAGTGATCCTGGCAGAGCCGACGGTGCCTAAGAGAGCGCCCTCGCCGCCGCAGCAGAGTCCGACTCAGCAGACCGCGATTGAGGACAAGTTGAAGGCCGCCGAGGAACGAAGACTATCCATCGAGGCGCACAAGCTCGCCGCTCTCGCTGCCAAGCTCAGCAAGATTGAGGAGGCATCTCGCAAGAAAGACGAACTCAGTGCCGCTTTCATCGCCGCCACCCGCGAGTCATTGGATGCGAAAATGAATAACACGGAAGAGAAGCGGGAGGCCCACATCGCTGAGCTGAAGAACAAGTTGAAAGATCATGTGAGTCGAAAAGATCAAACTAGAGTCGCACATGAAGTCTTTTCTATTTGTCTTTTTAATTGATTATTTCTTATATAGTTATCAATGATTAATTATTAAACTTCGTTTGATTGCGTAGATGCTTAAACAACTATTCAACAAGCTTTCAGATGACTGCAAACTGTTGTAATATTTAATTTGATTTTCTGTTGCAGTTGGAGAGTGTTGAGAAGACTCGCTTGAGTCTCGAGCAACAAACTGAGGAAGTGCGATGCGCTGTCGAGGAGAAACTGAAAACTGCTGCGGCTCAGCGTGATGAAAATATTAAGAGGATGTTGGATCGTCTCAAAGAACATGTTAGTATTTAAAATGAACAATGTTATAAACATGAGGATTAGATAAATAAATTATAAGATGCACAGCCCAAAATTTTATTATATGAAGAATTTAACTTTTTTTTATTCATAATTATTTAACACACAATATTTTTTATTTGCATAAGATTTATTATATTTGAAGTGATTGAAGCAACAATGAAATACTTCTAAATTTTTATTTGCAACTACCGTGGTTTTTTTCTTTTCTGCAAGACTGCTATTTCGTTTTGCATATTTGAATAACCAAAAGACTATATAGGTAGATAATAGACTCGGACTCGCAAGAATAGACATAAATTATTGATTTACTGCTCTGTTTGTAGGAAGAGCAAGTCGCTCGCGTACGTCAAGGTATGTCAGAGCGCGTGCAGCAGTTGGAGTCCCAAATCCAGGGCAAGTTAGAGCAGGCACGCGAACGTCGCGAGACCATCGAGCGCGAGCAGAAAGAGAAGCTGCGCAATCATGTAAGTTTTCGGCCGAATGTAGCCTTCGAAGTTAATGTGGTAGCTTTAGGCAGTACGTTTCTATCAGATTGTTACGAAACATCGTCGATTTTCAGATATGAAAAAATTAAATTAATTTGTGGTTATATTGTAAAGTTGTACGAAACTTCAATTTTTTTCATTTAATTGGTATTTTTTAGATTTAAGAAAAAATTGAATATCCAATTCGAAGATCCAAATCACCAAAGTTTCAAAATTAAATAAAATGTATTTTAAAAATTCATGAATTAAAGAAATATAAAATCAATAAAATTATGTTAAAACTTAAATATTATCTTAAAACTTAAATAATTTTAAATAATTTCTAAATTCTTGAAATGTCGATATATTTAATATAAACAAAAGTTTTCCGACAAATGATGGAATAATTGCAAAAAAAAAGCGACGAACAGTTGCGTAACAATCTAAAATCTTTAAAGCATTGTATTCCCATGCTTTTGAAAAATAGAAAGAAAATAACAAAAAAGCGAATCGGGTTACCTCGGATTGCCCCGAGGATTTTCTGCGTAAGAAAGCACTGATCGAATGTAGGCGTTTGTGCGATGGTGGTTTAGAACACGGTGAAGATAGCGAAAATGCGTCAGATGGCGGCGCGCGAGCTCCTGATGAAAAAGTGCGAGTTCGACAAGAGGGTGTCGACCGCGGAGATGAATCGGCAACGAGAGATCCAGCGTCGCGTGCAGGCGATTCGCCGCCACCATGTAATTTCGTTCCCACACGCATTTTTAACCGCAATCGCACCCCTGCAGACAATTTGTCGTATGATCTATGCAAATCGATGCTTGCGATAAGAAAGATTGCAAAAAGATTTCTAAGAATGATTTCGCTGATTTCCTAATTTTGGTTTCTTATTTAATTATATTTATTAATTTATTAGTAATATTAGGCGTGGGAAAAAGTTCGTGGCGTTTTTCCCATTAGATGGTATTAAAAAAACGCCACGAACTTTTTTCCATCTAATATATTTATTTATCATTTAACAATATTATTATTATTAACTTTATCGAGTGCACCGTTAACAAAATACATTAGATAGAATACAGTATTATTTGGTATCACGTATCAGTTACACTACAATAGACTGGGCGACAGCTGAGCAGCTAATTTGAAGCCGTATCAGTATATTAAAATAAGTGAATTATAAAAATTAAATTCAAAACAATTAATAAAAACAATGAATTAATAAAAACAATGAATATTATAATTATATAAATACGCAAATTACTGTAAGAACATTTGAGGTAGAAAAAAGCGTTATAACATAACATACATTACTCATAGAGAATAACAAGAAGAATTGCATAGAACAGTTGATCTGATATTAAAATTTTGACGCAATGTATTGAGTAATTTCAGAACGAAATACAGGAAGCCACGGTAGAGAGCATAAAGCAGATGGTATATTATATAAAATTTCACTGCTGTGTAGGAGAAGGCGCTCTGAAATTTAGATTCGTGATGAGCAGGATATGAAAGTTGGTATTGCTGACAAGTATCAGACAGAGCACCTGAATGAGAGTCAACGTTAAAACGGTTAGCTCACGAAGATATTTAGGACTATTGGTGCGAAGAACATCATAAATCAAGCAACGTAAATTTACGTTGCTTCGCATCGTTACGAACTGTAAAACGTTGAAAATATTCAGTCAACCAGCTAAAAGCAAGGAGTAATATGATCGTACTTTCTAACACCTAGGAAAAACGAAGGAATTTTAGATTAATTGTATTTTATGAAGATGATGTTGTTTGAGACAAGGAATATATACAGTGTCTACATAATCAAATAGAGATATTACAGAGATTGTGTAACTTGTAGCTTCTGAGAGACTGAACTAATATGGTGAAAAGGATATATAGTAGTTTAAGATGAGAATATGTAAGCCTGCATTTAGCAACAACATGATATTCAAATGACCATGATGAGTTAATGTGCAAGCCTAGAATTTTAATAGTCGTGCTGGGGATTAATGGAACATTTTGAATAAAGATATCGAAAGCAGGAAGATGAGAAAGTAAGGGGCACCAGCAATTAAAAGTGAAGATTTGGTGAGATTTAAATGCAGTCCATTCAATGTCGACCATTCAACGATTTATCAAAGGTCATCATTTAAAGCGTGCACAGAGAGTTTCAGAGAATTTGAAAAATATGAAGAGTATATCGTCGTTTACTGTATCGTATACATGTAAAGGCTAGAGGAGATAACTATGAAAGATAAATCAGCAACGAAGCTTAAAGAATCAAGTAAAGAACTAAGAATGAAACCTTGAGGTACACTTTCATACAAAAGAGATCTTCTATATGAGGGAAAAACTAGAAGAAGAATTATAAACGAGAACTTGCTAAGAACTTGCTGACAATTTGATTGAGATGATAAAGAGGAAATGAAAGTTATAAAGAGGAGTCACATAGACCATAATGATGCAATTTGACAGTCAATAGCTCAGAATTAACTGTATTGAAAGCTTTAGAAAAATCTAAGCTACAAGAGCCGACAAAGAGCTATTATCGAAGACAGAGTCTGACAGATGAAGAAGAGAAGTAGTAGTATTGTGATTTTTACAGAAACTAGATGGATTTTCAGGAATTATATCATTTATATGAAAGAAATGGCTATTTGTATAAAAATGCATTCCAGAATTTTTGAGAAAAAAGGAAGAAGAGTAATTGGACAAAAAATGGAGAGGAAGAACTGGATGATCTTTGGGAGAGGAATAACTATTGAGTAGGAAAAATCTCTCTAGTTAGGCATGAATTAAGGATAAATAGTAAAGCCTCAAGACAACTAGGAGAAGAAAGAAGTAACATACGTTCAGAGAATAAGGTCCAAAGGAAGTGAGTTTTAAATATATTGTACACTGAAAAAAATGTATGTAATTTTACATGGAAATTACATGTTTATGGCTGAAAAATTATTTAAATTATATAAATATGATTGGAAATTTACTGTAAATTGTAAATTTCCAATCATATTCCGGTAATTTTCTGGTCATAGACATGTAATTTCCATGTAAAATTATGCATTTTTTTCTGTAGGTCGGTCATATTAATTGAAGAAAAATGAAATTTATTCGAAGATAGATTGAATATGAAGAAAATGATTAATGGACTGGAAGAAGAGGGAAGGGATTATAATTATTTTTATTAAACTGTTAGGATTAAGGAGATGTTGATCTCATAGTCACGCTGCGAAAGCTCAAAACTTCGTATGCGAGACTCCAGGTCATCAACAGTCGATGACGAAAAAGGCCGATTGATTGCATTGATTTAGTGGAGCCTTCAAGGATGAAGTTCTACAGACCGACCTCGTCCCACACAGTGGTAAGTCTACTGATAGCCGAGCTCACATCATCAAATGAGGCAACAGCATCCTTGAGATCACGTAACCTTGAAGAGAGTCTCCAATCTATTGTTAAGATCCACCATCGAATTGAATCAAGCCTCTATAGATCCAAACCTAGTCTCCAACGAGCCAAGTTTAAGTGTCAGGTCAGGCTCAGTCAGATCAGCGAGCGTAAACATCGATAGTGCTTGTAGAACATCCAGTAGCATTCTTAACACTCATAGAACATTAATGGAAGAAGGAGCATTACGCAAAAAGCGCCACAAAAAGAGCTTAAACAGCCGCGTGGTAAAAATCGCTTATACTTGGAACAAGCAGGTCGACCCGAGGCTCCAAGCTTGCTTTGTTGTCAAGAGAACATTAGCAAAGTAAAGTGATAGGATTAAGGTGAAGGATAATAAAATTTACACATTGTTTAAAAATTAGGAAAAGAACAATACGTTAATTAACTTGAAATAGGTAATATATAGGTAAAGACAAAGAAAAAAAGCAAAGCAATCTTATGTATCTTATGTAGTTAGTTTGAATAAAATTAACTTCACCAAATCGTAATGCAACCACCGCCGAATGCAGTTTAAAATATAGCGAGTACCATCAAAGCCCCCCCCCCTCCCCCCTCCCTCCCAAGAACAGTCTTAAATAGTCGTGCGCAACAACAGCCACAGAGCAGACCAAATGTTTCCAATGACAAAGAATGCAGTAAAGCAGTCAAAGCACAGCTCACAGAAGCAGACTTGAAAAACCAAATGGCAGATGGATGAAATCGCCATTAAAGACAGATGAAAGATTCTCCAAAGAAATTTCCAATATAATGTTGCTAGAAAATCAAATGGAAGAAAGCAAATAGTAAACACGTCTGAATAGGACGACGATTCGCGAGCGACTTATATTAAATAATATGGTAAAAGCATAAAAATATTTATAATAGTATATAAATTAAAAGTTTTATATAATCGTAACATCATAGAAAATTTTAAAAATTGAAATTTTTATTAGATATCAATGATAACATGTTTTTTCAGTAAAATTACATATTTTCCATAAAATTAAAATCAGATATTATATATAAATTATAAAGATTGGATTTAATCCACAGATATTATTTTAGAGATATTGTTTTAAAGATATTACAATATTTAAAAAAAAAAGTATTATTTCAATCGTTATTTGTTCAAATGGTTAAAATACAAGTCAGAAATTATAAATATTGATCATATTTAATCTATGGATATTATTTTGAAGTTTATTTTTTTATTAAATAATATTTATTTTTACCGAGATTTTTCAATAAATGTGAACGAACGAAAATATAAAAAATAACTTATGTTTTGTATTTTTATTTATATATTTGATTTCATATATTTATATTGTATATTTTCATATTTTATTTTTGAATTTGTAATATACATGCTATACATAGATAGAGATTTTAGAATTGTGGTTAATTAAAATTAATATGACAAAGTCAAATAGTACGACAAATTGTAATGCGTGGGTCGCATTAAATTACGTATCAATTATTTCCCCAGTTTTGTATATTTTCTCTCCTTCCACCGTCGCGACAAATAGCTTGTTATATTTTATATAGGATCACGAAGCCATCAATAGTTGCGTTTGTAAATGGAATGCTGTTGTCGTGCTTTCGCTGGATTATGTTGCAGCCTTCGTTTCATATCAGTTATCTTTCTTTCAGCATGTGATCGTGCTCATTTATAACTCATACGTGACCGTTTTATGTACAGGATGTGCCACAGAAGATTTGGTACTAAAATTTTATCCGTCACGTAATTTGCACGAAGATTTAATTAATTGAATTAATTTTCTGCAATAAATTCAGTATCAATTAGTTTAAATCGAAAATTAAAGATCATGTAATATCAAAATAGACGTTCAGAGAAATTCCAAAAACTTCTTCGACTCATCCTGTGTAAGCCATTCGTGACTCGTCAGCTTATTAGAAAGCATGGCGTACTTTTTGATCTCTGTCTTTAGGATCGCATCAGAGAATATTATTTTAATTCTGTAAATTCTTTTCTTTCTTTTCGTAGGAGAGGCGCGCCGAGATCGTGAGACAGAATAAGAAGGAGCGCCAGGATAATCTGACGGACGTGAATCCGATCTTACCGGTAGAGAACGAGACCGCCAGTTCCGGCTAAGTATCCGGAAATTCTCTTTAAGGCCGCTCGAACGCCCCGCAAAGCTCCGTTTCGCTTTGTGCCATTATTTTTTGACTCGAAGTAAAACGGGAGGTCGATCGCCGTGCATTAGACGTGTTCGCATTTCGAGCGAGAGAGGTAGGCGGAGCCGAATCGTCTCCTTACGGTTCCTGGATGTCATATGGACAATACTGCCTTCATCACGTTCTCATTTCGGCAACGATCCGCATAGAAACACGGTTTCTTGAATTTTTAGAAGGAAAGAGCGAGGATAGTTAACAATTTCGAGGTTGTTGCGAAAGTTTAATTTTAACTGGGCTTTATATGACAGAGCTGTAGGCATTAAGATATGTGGGGCACAAGGACTTAAAGATGAAGTTCTATGAATCGAAAAAAGTGTAAGAATTTTTAAAAGAATTATTACAAGATTGAGGTATTCAAAGATTTAGAAGAGTTCAAAGTTTTCAAAATCTAAGAACTTTCTTCTATTTTTTTATTCATGTAAAAATCACATAAAGCTAGTGTAATATCGATATATTTCAAGATTAGAATATCGAAAAACTAGTTTAGAAACTAGAAATTTTTTTATAAGAAGAGCTTATGAAAAATATCAAGAACTTTCGCAGCAACCTGAAAATATATGTTCCAAAGAAATATGCATTTTTTATACAAAAAAAAACAATTCAAATTGAAGTTAAAATGACATTTTAAAACATATTTGAGACATTCAATTTTAATTCTTATTATTTAGTTTTTATTAATTTATGAGATACAATGTCCTAAAAATATATTTTTCCTTGATTAATTGACGAAAATATGTCCACGGACTCCGAAGAAAAACAAAAAAGAAACCAAAAATAAAAAAATGATTTTTTTTAGTCGTTTATAATTTTTTATATGTATTGTGAATAATTAAATTCGTCTCTTTTTGTAATATTTTTTTACTTACGTATGTATGATTGTCTACAATCTTATTCTCAATGGAAAAAGTATGAAGTCTGGGAAAAAATCTCTACGATGGCTAACGATCGATTAACCGTGATTACCGGCTGGTCCTTTTAAATCGCAACATAATGCATCGTTTCCCGAGAAAGAAAGAGAATTTGGTTTGATAGAGATTAACTGATTATTATAAAATCACTATCGCTACAACTTAGGTACTAAGTGGTGCGATTGCAGCTTTGTGTGCGTGTGCACACACAAGATGATAATGTGTGTACGCGATGTGTGCCGGCGTGTTAAGCACACATTTATGATTATATATAAATATAATATACATATAATTATAATGATATATTAATGATAATAACAATAATGATAATAGTGCTTTATACTAGGCTTGAAAAACTTGAGAAAACATTTTGTACTCATTGTAATATTACTGCGCTAACCAAAATGAGAATAACACTCCCACTGAGAAATGTAGTCTAACGAAATATGATAATGTGACGCTTCTGTGATGACTTTAATTATTTGTCAAAATGTGTAATGTTTAACTGTGAGCGAGAGAGAGTGATAGGGAAGGAATGAAAGAAAGACTGAATGAATGAGAGAGTGCGGAAAATATAGAAAGAGAATGAAAGAATTTTTGTTTTTTCAAATTAGCACGGTTGTCGTGACCAGGAGAAGTATGTTTGCATGGAGGATTTGAAATATGGCATATAATATAATCTTATTGGGAGCCAATCTTGACCCACACGAAGTAGCGTCTGTTACAATTGCTGGTTTATATGCTTGCAGGGAAAAAAATAAAACAAGTGAAAAAGGCAAGAACAGAGACGTTACAGTATTTTTCCGACGACAAGATTTTCCGGTGGCATCTGAAGCAAAGTGGCTTTGAAGCTTAAGTAACTTCTAAGTAATCTTCAGAACTTTTTGAGATTAATAGAAATAGAGTGTAATGAAATTTGGTATATAACCTCTGCTTGTACAAGAAATTAGGATTTAATAAGAGTCAAAGCTTTGAAAAAAAAACGCAAGCTTTGGAGTCCTAGAAGTCTACACAGTGAAAACCTGGAGGTTTTCCAAAATATCTAAAGTACTCTGAATATAAAAGAAAAAAAGAAAAAAAAAGAGAAAGAGCTTGGAAAACTTAAGCCTTAGTCACAGTGCCGCTACAGTTCCAAGAAGTAGGACACAACAGATCGCAATTATAATCATGATATTTATTAGCTTTCATCTCATAATCCGGATCAATAGTTCCCAAGCTACTCTTTAAGATCCCATAAAAACTTTTAAATTACTACGATATCTTTAGAATCTAGGAGACGAAGATTCTTAGGTCCAAGATTCTGCGAAGAATAATTGATTTTGTAATGGATAATTAAATTAACTTATTTTTTAATCACAATGTATATGTTGTGCTTTCATTAGTTTCATTAGTTTTTGTAATAATTCATATTACGAATAGCAGATCTTGTTATCTTTTCCTTTTTATTATATTCTTGGGAACGTCTGATCATTTGCATTATTGGCGCGCATTTAGCCCTTCTGCACTTCTAGATGTTTAAAAATTTAAATATAAACTTGAAAAAAAGCTTTGGAAAATAATTCTGATATAGATGCTTGTTAAATTCTTCTTTTACTAATTGAATGAATCACTCTTTTTTTAATAGATTGGACTACAATATAGAATGAAGCATTACATTTATTTATACATATAGAATATTTCATAACATAATTCCAGAAATAAATTTAGAATATAAAAAATGTATACAAGGTGTTTCAAACTTTTTGACACGCTGCTTATGAGCCAGGTAAATTTTTAACTGGTTTAAATTAAGTCAAAAATCCTCTACTATTTGCAATTTTCGCAATAGTTAATGAAATATTCATTTCTAAAAATTATCGAATATGAAGGTAAAATTGACGCATAAGACAACTTTAAAATACCTTTTAGAATTTTTTAATGAAATATCGAGATGTTTCTTAAAGAATTCTTAAAGATATCTTGAAGTTATTTTTTTGCGTCGATTCTAGACATTCTATCGTTGAATAACTAAAAAAAATTGTAAAAATTCGAAAATGAAAGGACTTTTCGATTCAATTTAGTCCATTCTACCTGCCCACACATGGTGTGTCAGAAAAGTTTTTAAGATCCTGTATAAACGTTTCTTTCTGGCCTTGTTTCTGAGAGTTACAGACAAATGTTTTCGTATTTTATTAATTCTCGTTACAAACTAAGCTAACATAGCGTCTTCACACATTTCCGTCTTCAAAAAAGTCAAGACGCGAAGTTGCTATGCTAGCTGAGTTTGGAACCAGAATTAATAAAAATATTTGCGACTCAGAAACAAGGTCAGATAGAAATTGTTTATATAATTATTTATAATTTATACTTCTTATTTTCGTTTCAATTTTTTAAATTCATTTTTCAGAAATTTTATATTTACTATTCTATTTATCTTATAATATTTTGTACTTATCTTTTTTTTACATTAATAATGATTAAAAAAGATAAAAAAAGAAATATATACAAAGTAATATTTTTTTCTTACAAAATTGTTGTAAATTTACTTACAAAATTTTATTTATAAAATTGCTCTTAACAAAAACTATTTTGCAAATATTAAACTTTCATATTTCCCTTTCATATTTCTTTTATATTCGATTTTTGTCGGAACAAAAGTGTTTATGATGTGATGCTGATAGATTTGGCGCCAAACTCAGATTTAAAAACTTGATTTAGTGGATTTTTGCGAGAAACTTTTTACATATGTATGTAATCTTTAACTAACTGTATCTTACTCCACGTAAACTGAAATTAATTTAATATTCGCTCTAATATTCGTTATTTAATGATTACGATTATACGATACACGTGAATGTAATTGATTAAATTTATGACTTAAATAAGTGGGCTAAACGCGCGTTTTTTTCCAAGATGTAAGTAAACCTTATTGAAAACGCCTAATTGCATAAATACTAATTAAGCGTGGAAATGATGAGTGAAAGGGAGAGACAGAAAAGACGGTGAAAGGGTGAGCGACGAGAAATTTCCAACGTACTTTCAAAGAAGAATCGAAGAGAAATTTATCTTGCCATGTCACGACAAGTGGTGGATAACGTCTATATTTTTGCATCTCGTTGTTGTAATTCTTTGGAAATTGTATTCTCGTGTAATAATTATATGTTACATGACGTATGTCTCTTGACTTGCGTTACAATATATACCGGGTGACCCGCAGAAAAAAGTAGGTAACAGCGCCAGGAATTCGTTTCCGATCGAATTTCGTTAGGAACAATCTCGTATCTTTTTTAGGGACATCCTGTATAATAAATAATTGCGCGACGACCCGTATAGTGTGGGCCAACAGTTGTCATCTTGGAAATTAAAGCTTCAAGCTTCTTTATTATTAAAAAAGATAATAAATTACGAAAACTATTTGAGTCGTGACTCCTCTTTAGTACCAATTATATCATCGCAAGCAATTTTATTACATGTACAAATTATTTTAGATACGTGATTCTTTTTATTTTTTTTTTCGGTATATTAAATTATAATAAAAGTGTGTTTCTGTATATCGTTGTTACAAATCAATCCTTTTTTTTAATGGC